GTCCGTCCGTCCGTCCGTCCGTCCGTCGGTCCCCGCTGCCCCCGGGCGCTGTCCAGCGGCGCCGGGTGCTGCTCGCTCCGCGGCTGCGGAAGGCGGCGGAGCGGCAATTGGAGGGGACGGGGGGAATCGGGGGGGATGAGGAGCGGACCCAGCCCCCGCTCCTCACTCGCCCCGCAGCCCCGCATTTATACCTGGCGCTGGGAGGAGCCTCCCCGCCTCTCCTCCTGCCTTTGCCTTCCCCCCGATCCGCCCGGGCGCATCTTTGCGCGGAGAAGGGAGAGGCGGAGAGCGGAGCCGCCCGCCGTCCCGCCGGGGATCCAGCCGCTCAGAGCCACGGGGAGGGCTCGGGGAAGGGGTGGGGGACACACACACTCTCTCCTCCCGCCGGTGATCCTCTGTAAGCAGCCCCCCGACGTCGGGCAGAAGGTGAGGTCGCCTCCGGGAAACCCGTCTTCCAGCATCTTAACCCCCACACTTTCAAATACAGGGTGATGGATGGGGAGTGAGATGAAGAGATTTTATTCCTCCCATCATCCAGCCGCGGGTTCTGAACGGAGCCTACTCAAAGGCATCAGCTGCCTGGTGAAGTTTTAGGGTTGGAATAGCGAAGTTGCTTTTCACAGAATCACAGAATTATCTAGGCTGGAAGAGACCCTCGGGATCATCGAGTCCAGCCATCCACCCTACTCTAAAGTCCTTCCCTACACCATATCCCCCAACACCACATCTAAAGGGTTCTTAAACACATCAGTCTTGACTACGAAAACGGGGAGAGGTGATGTGTTTTATCCCTGACTTACTCTGCAAATGGTACAACACAGCGGAGAATAAACGTTATTTGCCTCTTTGAAGTGTAGCATCTGTTTCTGGTGCTTCTCGCTTTTCAGTGAGGCAATACCTTTCACTTCCTAGTGTCTGCACAGGCTTTCCAAACAGCCCCAGCTGTTTCCAGCCAAAACCATGAATGTAGGTAGCAGTGCAAATATGCTGAAAGAGAGGCAGACCTCCTGGACTGAAGTTTTCAAGAAAAAGAGCTAAAGCAGAGGAATAACAGCATTTGCCAGTAACATTCCCTGCAGACTGATTCTTTCCCTTCTCCTTCCCAAAAAGGAGGATGTATGAGCTTGCAGTGAACCTGCATGTTCAAGTTATTAAAACAGTTCTTTTGAAGCCTGTGAGTTTATGACAGGTGTATGGAGAAAGCAAATGAGTGCATGGTGGACCTGCTGAAATGGGAGAAAGAGTTTGACCACCGAATTATCAGAAGCAAATCATGTCAGGCGTACAGCAATACACAGCCTGTCCGTGGCATGCTCTCCAGTGTAGGAATTAAATTTTAAAAGACATCGTGATTTTTTTTAAATAACATTTTACTAAGGTTAGCAAACAAAAAAAGTATTATTGCTTCTTAAAAGTTACACCTCACTGTATCTATTGATTGATCTTTATGACTCTTCTCACTTCCCTGAATTTATAAATCTGTTACAGTTGTGTAAATTACTGATTCATATAATGCTGATTAGTTACTTGAACACCCAGCCAGTGCTAGTCCCCAGAAAGGATCAAGCCAGAGACCTCACCTTTACCACAAGGCAGCTGATCAGAACTGTCACAGAGCTCCCCTGGAAGTGATTCCTGTTACTGATCAAATTTCTTCCATAAATTCAACTACATTCCCTCTGAGGCAGCCTTACTGTCAGCTGGGATATTTATCACACTTGCTGGTACTCTCTACTTTGCTGAGCATCCAGGAACTTTTCTAAGACCATCAGTATTCAGGTTTCTGCAAACAGTCCCAATCAGCCTTTCTGGTTCCCATCGGTTGGATTCAATATGTGTCTTTAATGCTGACCTCAGAGGATGGCCCTTTTCACTAATTTATTTGAAAATGGGTTTATGTGTGAACAATCAATAGGATTCCCATTGGGAGAACAGTTTAAAGTCAGCATGTCTTTAATATTGATTTACCTGAGACATCAAGCAGCTGAGTCTTTTTGCTCAGAACATAACATTTTAAAAGCTTCTATTGGCATAAACTTCTTGCAGTTTGTGTGGAGAAAGGTGGGACCTTTTTGTTGCACACCACGCAGGAGGATTTCTATTTCTTCTGTCCCAACAATTTTTACCTGTCCTTCAGTCCAAATGATGGAATTCATAAGGTTGAGGAATTAGGAACGTATTTGGTGGGAATTTATGCTCCTGATTTTTGTCATTATTTGAGTGTATCTACTCTATATTTTCAGAACTCTGAACTGCAAGGAAATAAGCTTTGGAGACGATGAGTGTCTCCAGCTCAAAGGAACAGAAAGTTAGATTATGCTTCTAATGTCGTTCAACAGATGTCTGTGTAAAGACAAGGGAATATACTCAAACAGCATGAAAACAATTTCCTGTGGAGACAAAAAGGAGAGGGAAAAGATCCACAGACCCTGACATAAACCAGCCGGAATTCAGATCCCCACATACAAACTGTTCATCATTCTCTTTTCAAACAAAAGAATCCATCCCACTCTTTGGATGTTATTTCAGATTATAACAGTCTCAAGACAATCTCGTGGCGCAGCTGTGGCACAGTGCTCAGCACAAGAGCAAAAGGAGAAGGAGAGAGCCACAGGTAAGTCTCCTTAAGGGGAAAGAAACTGTGCACAGGCTGAAATCAGCCAGCGCAGAGAGAGAGAGCATCTGGGAGTGCAACGCCACAGGGCAGGGACTGCCACAAGTGGGAAAGGTGGGAGGCAAACCTGCTTCACCAGTGATTGCCCAAGGGAGGGAGGCGATGCCAGTCTGTGTAGGAATGAGACATCCACGCATCTCGCAAACGCCCTCTGCTGAGAACTGCTTCTAACTGGGAAAAAGGCTCCTCTCGTGTGTCTGTGCAGCTCAAGGAGATTGGTAATTCCAGGGCAGATTCCAGATTTGCACCTCACAATAAACTTTTTGCAGTCCCATGAAAAGCCAAGCGTATCTTCCACCAAAACTACCTGCAGTAAGCACCCTTTAAGAAAGTACGCACGCTTGCAAGCCAAAGTAATACCTGGAGTATTGTGTGCAGGTCTGGAGCCCTCAATATAAGAAGGACATGGACCTGATGGAGAGGGTCCAGAGGAGGGCCACAAGGATGATCAGGGGGATGGAGCACCTCTGCTACGAGGACAGGCTGAGGGAGCTGGGGTTGTTCAGCCTGGAGAAGAGGAGGCTCCGGGGAGACCTAATAGCAGCCTTCCAGTACCTGAAGGGAGCCTACAGGAAGGCTGGGGAGAGCCTGTTTAGAAAGGCCTGCAGTGACAGGACGAGGGGCAATGGCTTCAAGCTGGAGGGGAACAGATTTAGACTGGAGATGAGGAGAGGGTTCTTCACTGTGAGGGTGGTGGAGCACTGGAACAGGTTGCCCAGGGAGGTGGTTGAGGCCCCATCCCTGGAGATATTCAAGGAGAGGCTCAAACAAAAAAAGTATTATTGCTTCTTAAAAGTTACACCTCACTGTATCTATTGATTGATCTTTATGACTCTTCTCACTTCCCTGAATTTATAAATCTGTTACAGTTGTGTAAATTACTGATTCATATAATGCTGATTAGTTACTTGAACACCCAGCCAGTGCTAGTCCCCAGAAAAGATCAGGCCAGAGACCTCACCTTTACCACAAAGAACTGTCACAGAGCTCCTCTGGAAGGGATTCCTGTTACTGATCAAATTTCTTCCATAAATTCAACTACATTCCCTCTGAGGCAGCCTTACTGTCAGCTGGGATATTTATCACAATTGCTGGTACTCTCTACTTTGCTGAGCATACAGGAACTTTTCTAAGACCATCAGTATTCAGGTTTCTGCAAACAGTCCCAATCAGCCTTTCTGGTTCCCATCGGTTGGATTCAATATGTGTCTTTAACACTGACCTCAGAGGGTGGCCCTTTCACTAATTTATTTGAAAATGGGTTTATGTGTGAACAATCAATAGGATTCCCATTGGGAGAACAGTTTAAAGTCAGCATGTCTTTAATATTGATTTACCTGAGACATCAAGCAGCTGAGTCTTTTTGCTCAGAACATAACATTTTAAAAGCTTCTATTGGCATAAACTTCTTGCAGTTTGTGTGGAGAAAGGTGGGACCTTTTTGTTGCACACCACGCAGGAGGATTTCTATTTCTTCTGTCCCAACAATTTTTACCTGTCCTTCAGTCCAAATGATGGAATTCATAAGGTTGAGGAATTAGGAACGTATTTGGTGGGAATTTATGCTCCTGATTTTTGTCATTATTTGAGTGTATCTACTCTATATTTTCAGAACTCTGAACTGCAAGGAAATAAGCTTTGGAGACGATGAGTGTCTCCAGCTCAAAGGAACAGAAAGTTAGATTATGCTTCTAATGTCGTTCAACAGATGTCTGTGTAAAGACAAGGGAATATACTCAAACAGCATGAAAACAATTTCCTGTGGAGACAAAAAGGAGAGGGAAAAGATCCACAGACCCTGACATAAACCAGCCGGAATTCAGATCCCCACATACAAACTGTTCATCATTCTCTTTTCAAACAAAAGAATCCATCCCACTCTTTGGATGTTATTTCAGATTATAACAGTCTCAAGACAATCTCGTGGCGCAGCTGTGGCACAGTGCTCAGCACAAGAGCAAAAGGAGAAGGAGAGAGCCACAGGTAAGTCTCCTTAAGGGGAAAGAAACTGTGCACAGGCTGAAATCAGCCAGCGCAGAGAGAGAGAGCATCTGGGAGTGCAACGCCACAGGGCAGGGACTGCCACAAGTGGGAAAGGTGGGAGGCAAACCTGCTTCACCAGTGATTGCCCAAGGGAGGGAGGCGATGCCAGTCTGTGTAGGAATGAGACATCCAC